CAAATTACTCACACAACATCACTCTCAATATATTTCTGTGGAAAATTGTACTCTCCTTGTCGATCTCATCTATAAATAGGCAAAATCGGTGTCTCTCTTCCTTATTTATTTGCTTATTATCTTTACTACCTCATCATTAATTCGATATAATTCCTTTATTATATTAATAGTTCCATAATTTCCGATTAAACTGCCCATTTTAACTAATAAATGTCGACGGTCAACCGTCAACAAAAATAAATAAAATGATATACGCTTGTACTGAGCCGATTATGTTGTGCACAGCTACATGCTGCCTAATCAATTTATTTATATTACACGACCACCAGCGCAAATCGAATTGGTCTCGCATCGTTTGACACGCCGTGGTTTATCTATACGCGAGTACTTCCATCACTTAGAACAAATAAAACAAAAATCCAGTAACAAAAGATCTCGTCCAATCACGTAAGTTGGCGCGTCTTGATATGGTGGACATCCCCGTACCCAATATCCCTCCACTTGGATCAAACGACGTCGTATCGCCAGCTTCACTTTCTTCTCCATCACACCTAGAATTAGCCGCGGGCCGACCCGGCCCACCAAGTCGACCCAAACCAACCCTGAATGGTTCTGGGCCTGATATATGCACTTTTCGAACCGGCCCTTCTCTTTTTTCTTTTTTGAATTTTTTCAATATTTTTTTTTTCTCAATCGAAGTTAAGCTCCTGATATTGTCGGCCGATATGGATCGGGTGACAGCGGGCCGGGTATGGAGATGCCGATCCCGCACGACAGCGATCGCTACGACTTCGTTCGGGATATCGGGTCGGGTAACTTCGGCATGGCCCGATTGATGACAGATAAGCAGACGAAAAGAGCTTGTTGCGGACTTGGGTCAAGTATATTGAGCGAGGCGACAAGGTTAGTCTTGTGTGTCTGCAGATTTGCTCTTTAAATCCATTTATGGTGGGTTTATTGGATTATTGAACTTTTTTTTTTTTGAAGTTGGTATTGAAGCTGATTTTGTTAAGCGTGTAATTATTCTTGCCTGCGCAAATATTGAAAGTGTTTTTGGGAATTTGGTTGATTCGTCCTGGTGTGAGATTAGTCTGTGTGGAAGTTAGCTATTTTCTCATTTTGGGGAGAAATAATGCTGCCAAACGTGTTATTGCGAGCAGTTAACTTTTCTTAACGCAGGTTCAAAAGCTCTTATACTTTAGTTTATCTTTGATTCTTTAGTCAATATGCTTAAAAAATTTGGGTAGTACAATTTAGGGCTTTGTTTGGTGGTTTTGAAACCAGTTATTTCTTTAACAATTGTCTCTTCAAGAAACATATATCTCTACATGTTTGGATTCAGTTATCCTTTTGAGTTTTAAGCCAGCCAAAATCGAGACTTCTCATATAGTTACTTACAAGAAGATTTTTCTAGTGATAACCACACACATTTATGATTTGCTATCTACTGTACTAAGACCACCTCTCATGAAACAGACCAAAAGAGAGAAAAATAAAAGGACAAGTTGAAACTGCTCATGGTTTAATTTCAGTTTCTTGATCCTCATTACTTGCGTTTGTCACTTCCATTCCTCGAAGAATGGATGACGAGTTGAAGCCGATCCACACCAAGTCTATGTCACCGCTCGTCTCTAACTCTTGCAGCCCGGGCCTTAATATCTCAGATAAACTCGTTTTCAACCTCACGCAGCTTGTAGCAATGCCTGATGACCACACGTTCCAGCTTGTAGCAATGCCGGAAAATTATGTAAGAAAGTTACTTATTAGATCTGATTGTCAACTATGCTTCAAAAAGGCATGCATTTGTTCTCAAGGTGTACTATTTTTATCTATCAATATTAAACTAGTATAAAATATGAGAATTTATCCATTTATTATTAGTTCTGATTGTCAACTATGCTTAAAAAAAGGCATGCATATATGCACTTGTTCTTAAGGTGTACTATTTTTATCTACTAATAAAATTAGTACTACCAGTATAGTACGTGAGTATTAAATTAAGAAATATATACATCAAAATGTCTAAAAAAAATATATACATCAAAATGTCTAAAAGATAAACATAAAAAAATATTTTAAGTTTGTAAACTTTTAAAATTGCATTGTTAGTTATTAATGACGCTAGAGTGTTGTACATGAACATAATATTTTTGAATAGCATTAGTTTTTTAATGTTTAAGGAATTGATTTTAGTATGAATATTACTTTGTAAAATAATAATTACAATGAGCACCTAGAATGGCCAGAATTGATTTTAGTACGAATTTTACTTTGTATAATAGTTATTACAATGAGCACCTAGAAAGGCCACTTAGGTAAAAACCGTGGCGCACGAGTGCATTCTAGCTTGATATTTAAAATATTGATTCTAAGTGCACGAAAGCTGGTATAAAATATAAAAAATATAAATGCAAAGTAAATTACAGGGAGAGTTGATTAGTTTGTTGAAGGAGTTTGCGGACGTATTTGCCCTCAGCCCGGACGACCTCACGGGAATTAGTCCAAACTTGGTAGTTCACACAGTGAAGGAGATGAAGGAATCGGGATTCAAGGTCGATGCCACTACTATTTAGTTGATGATTAATGACCGAGTTGATGTTCTGGAGATGGTTAGGAAAGAGTTCTGAATACTTAGTGAGCTCCAAAGAGTAGTTGCTAAGTGTGCTTTTGATATCCTGTTGGTAAGGAGAATCTATGAATATGATTAAAGAATCGTCGAGTATGTAGTATCCTGAGGTTTCACAAGAGTCGTAGAGTACTAGAGTACATATCTAGTATCATGAAAGTCTTGAAGGATTACATAGCAAGAGTCATGGAGTAACAAAAGTCGAGGAAATTCAGTATCAAAGCCAATTGTTCTTGTTTTGAGTTTACCTTTTGTCCTTCTTACCAAACTGAGATTTTTATCGTAATTGTTTGGATTTAGCTCAAACAGAGTTCTTTATGGATCCTACATAAGAACAAACAGAGTCCATTTATGGATCCTACAGTTTTATATACATTTCAAAATTACACTTCTTTGTGGATCTTCCTGATGTATTAAAAAAAATAAGAAAAATCCATGAAGCTATTTATAAATAACGAGATTAGCCCAATTCGTTTCACATAGAAGGAAAACAATGTTGAAGTCCTTTATTTTCTTCCTCTGACACCATTCAGTCCTTTATTTCATATATACATAATACACTGAGTTCAAAATGATGAAATTTCTGAATTCTCATTTCTCAGAGAAAACTAATCCAAATTTCCCATCCAACACTCTTTAACATGACTTTCTTGTAACAACTTCTCTCTGTGCTAGTTGGCCAAGCCAATGACAAATGTGAATACAGTGTAAATCTCTCTCTCTCTCTCTGTTATTTTTTTCAATCTTTCAAAAGAGTACTAAATCTGCCTGTTTTGGTCTCAAGCATGGAGGAAGATTCTCCTCAGCTGGTGCCTATGCTATTTAGTCAATTTTATGCATTTTCTAAGTTTTCTACTTTGTTCACTTCTGACGACCTTACGTTCAGTTCGGATGCGACATTTTGTGGCATAACTAGATTGCAAACACAAAAAAGTGAGGGGCAAAAGAAAAAAAGAAAAAAATATTTTTTTTTAGGGTAAAGGAACTCTACACTTGTCATCTGGCAAAGCAGATTTTTTTGTTCTTAGATTGAGCGTGACAAAGTATTATGTCAGCATTCAAAAGATGCTTCGTGCGAAATATGAAACTTGATTGGAGCATTTTAACAGTCTGTTTGGATATGAATACCACAGGAATTTTTCGACTATGAATAAGGTTCCATGCAAGTTGTGTTCCTTTTGACTGTTTGATTGGAAAACATTTAGTTTTTCTCATTAAAGAGAAAAGCTGAACTGATTCAAAGCAGTATGCCACAGTTTTGCTCTGTGGCAAACAGAGTGTGTCTTGAAAAAAAAATGTATTATTATTATTATTATTATTATTATTATTATTATTATTATTATTATTATGCCGTGGGATGTCTAGTGGACCATGAATCAGCATAGGGGACGGTTCTTAAGTTTAAGAATTCATTGAAGAGATCTGATGAAAATTCTGAGCCATTATTGGTGGCTAAGATAAAATATTCTCTTGCATGAAATTTTTTTCAAGATTTTGTCCATTACTTTTTTTCTTCTTTGGCTTCAAAATTGTGTTCTTAACTTGTACCCTCTTTACAGATCGGGAAGACTAATTTTCTACGTAAGAATCGAGAAGGATTAGAACTTTTTTTCTGCTTCTTTGAAGTATGAATGTGAGGTTTGGATAAAAGATAGCGACATTTTAGCAGGATTAGGAATAAATGAACTTTTATTGCTTTTTATTAAAGGAGATTCTTGCCACTTAATCGACATACATATTTTCATATGTGCAGAATTTTCCCCCTCTCTCCCTCTCCACATTTTCGCACTGGTTTTGTGAAATTAATTTTACATGGCCTGTGGAGGACCTGGAGGTAAAAGTTGTATTTAACTATTTATGCATTTAATTTATTTATCATAATTATTAATTTGTCATCTTTTTGTCTGGATCAAATGGTCGCTACAAGGGATGAGATTTCCTATTTCAAAATCACTTTCCAGTTCATGTTTCATTCTATTTGATGGATGACACGCGCCATGAACACATTTATACATGTGTCAATCATCCAACAAAATGAATGAATAATTGAAACATGATTTTGAAACAGAATTCGTTTTTCTGCAACTAGTAGGCTTGTAATTTGGACTGAGCACGAAATTTGGATACTACCAAATTATTCCAATAATCGAATTAAAATCAACCTAAACAAAAAATAACCGTTCACCATCTTACTCTTTTTTGAACCGAAATTGAAAAATAATTGGTACAATTATAAAAACTTCATAAGTATTCATACCGAGGATTGGATTGAACTAGTACGTAGCCTGTGCGATGCACGAGACAGAAGTATTAAATGAGTCATTTCCACAGTGTTTGTCCGTTAAGTAGCTCGTGTGATTCACGTGAGATATTAAATGAGTGGATCATAGGGCTTGTCCGTTCAAGCCTAAAAAATAATAGAGTTTGATCATCTATCTTTTTACATCTTTTCATCAACGTCATTTTTTTTGTCGGAACATTAAACCTGAGTCTGGTAGCACTAGCCCGTAAATTAATTAATATATTATCTCGCTCACATGTTTATAATAATATAAATTTGATTTTGTTATATATATTTATTCCTTGATATAAGGAAAATAACAATTTTACGTAATCTTGTTCCTCGTATAATACTCATATTATTTTATTATAAAATTTATTGTAATATAATGTCATTATTATTGTTTATACAAGTTATAGATGTAGTCTTCTTCTTCTTTTTGTTTTATGTAATTAAAATATTTAATGTATGTTCATATTATTTATTAATGTAATTAATTTAAATTATGTAAATAAATTTAAAGTAAAACATTTTGTACAAACATTTTACAAAATATACACAAATGTTTTTTTTAGAATTTAATTTTTTTATAATAAATAAATATCTTTGAAATTCTATGCAATTATTAAACATCCTTGATATAAATTAGAAATCATAATTGAATTCTATGCAATTATTAACTCCGTCCGATGTTATAGGAAATAAATCATTCAGAAATATAACAAAATGATAAGAAATTTTAAATTTTAAATGAGACATGTTTTTACCTCTGTTCTAAAAGTCGGCCTAGGCGGTGCCCGGCCGCCTCCGATTTGCATAAATCGGCTGAAAAAATCGGTCAGGCGGCTAGGTGGGCCTAGGCGGACCTAGACGCTCCTAGGCGGGCTCGGTGGCCAGGCGGCTTGGCGGCGGCTTGGCGGCGTCTAGGCACGCCTAGACGGACCTAGGCGCTACCAGGCGGGCTCGGCGGAATTTTTTCAATTTCTTTTTTATTTTTTTTAAATACTAATTACATTATTTTGTTATCATGTTTTTTTATATTATACTATTATTATTATTTGGACTTAGGTATGTTAAATTATTTATAAGTTGATATAGTTTTATTTTATATGTAGTGAAAATAAATAAAAAATAAGGTATTTAATCTTGATTTATAGGCCCCGCTTAGGCGCCTGGCGCTGGTCGAGCGACTAGCGGGCGCCGAGCGACTTCTAGAACACTGGTTTTTACTTGAATTCTATGCAATTATTATTTTGTCTGATTTTATGGCAAACAATTCATTCAGGATTTTAATGTAACAAAATGATAAGAAATTTTAATATTTAAATTAAAATTTGAAATGAGACATGTTTTTTACTTGAAGTCATTAAATTAATGCAAATCGGTTTTTTAGTAATAAAATAATAATACAATTGAAATACTTGATGGAAATATAATGCATTAATTGTCTTTGATTTTTTTGCCTACTATTTCTAGTAAATAGGATGACTTTTTATATAAGTATAGATTATCCATACTGAACCGAACTAAAAAACCAAATTTTGGAACCGAACTATAATTTTAAATGTGTCTTGTTATGGAATACCTGAATATTTCATAATATTTAATAGGACATAGTGATAGCAATAAAAATCACATACATTTAATATTTCTAAAAGTTCAATCATATCACATATTTTGTTATTCTTCTAATTTTTCTTTTTCTATCTTATAATTAAAATGATATGAAAAATAAAAAATATACTTTTCAATATGATATATTCTGTTATGCGTTAAAATTTGCACTATTTAATTTCATAAATAAGTACAATTTTAACTAAAATTGCGATTCATTTATGTTTTCTTTTCTCATTTTTTATGAGTAATTTCAAAATAAAAATTTAATAAGATTAATAAATAAAAGTTTGAAGTTAAACAAGTATATTGATATTTTATTATATCTAGATGCTAGATTGGAAAAAAAGCTATTCAAATTAATAGTTTTATTTTCTTATCTCAATTTAATAATTAAAAGTATTTGAATATCCGATCCGAACCATACTAATCAAAACCGTCTGGATAACCCCAAATCTCCGAACTGAATCCAAATATAAAGATCGCCAAACCGAATTGTTCCAAATTTTGGTACGATTACAGAGATTGTATTTTGATGATTTCTTTATTTTTAGTTCGGTTTGAACTGAATTTCCCGAATCAAACCGTTTCATGCTCACGCCTACTTGTAACAAAATTGAATTTCTTTTAGGGAAATTTTTACGTATCCTACGTGATTTTAATTTATTTACAATTCTACCATATCTATATTAATAATTGTGTCTTTACCTAAACCACCTTATTTATCTGTATTAATGCCTAAATCATTTACTATATCCTTTCAACTTCCATCTTATTTTTTATGGGATTAATTAGGATCCCATAATTCTGTGACCTTCCTCGGCAAGAAGTTCCCAAAAAAATTCCTGTTCAACGCGCAGACCAATCGCCGGCGAGCCCCTCCGCCGCGCAATACCCCCGACCGTCGCCTGCTCGCAAGTCCTCCGCCGTGAACGCATCTCTGTTCGCGAGCAGCAAGCCGCGAGTCTCTGCAAATCTGACGCCGCGAGCCTCCCGCCGGCGAGTATCCTCCGCGTGGACCTGCGAAATTCGATCAGAACCAGTCGCGAGCCCTCTGCGACGAGACCCCAGCAACGCCACGACCCGCTCTCCTCCCACGCCGTGAGTCGCTGCCCAGCGCCGCCTCCATCTCTCGAAGAATTCCGGCGACCCTTGTTCACGCGTGAACTGCGGTTTCCGGCGAACCCTGTCACGACCAGACGCCGCGACCAGCCTCTTCCTCCGGCGATTAAGACCGCCGCGAGCAGACCCCGCGAGCCGTCGTCCTCAGCCTCTGCGGCCCGCTTTTCCTCCGCCGTAACAGTCCTTTCCGGCCAAGTGTATATCTTAAGTATATTTTATGTATATATGGGTTCTAAAGTCGTTTTTGAGAAACGATTGAAACTCGAGTGTTATTTAACGTATATTTTATGTATATATGTGTCCCGGTTGGCTTGAATTACTAGAATCTCGAGTGTATACTTTATGTATATGTGTGTTGTATAACTTTGATATATACTGTATATACTCGTAACATATACCCGAAACATATAAATTTTCATACTCGAAACATATAATGAAAAAATACTGTGTATACCCGCTACATATAGTATATGTTAGTATATATTAGTATATGTTGCAATGAAAAACATGTCTTTCATAAAAAAATTATGTCTTCTAATTCACGCGTCTGTCCAGATCGGTATATGTTGCGTTTATGTTAGTATATATTGCAATGAAAAACATGTCTTTCATGAAAATTTTATGTCTTCATAAAAAAAATCATCGGTTTATGCTTTGTCAATATAAAACCATACATACATATAAGGTAGCCCTTATATTATACAGAACATATACCCTATATATCCACAACATATACCCGATTAATTCATGGCCCCACCCACAATCTCCAATTTCCAGTTTTTTCTTCCATCGTCTCGAACTCTTCTGCTTCACCACCTCCATCGCGTACTCCACTTGGAACAGCCGCCCCGCCGGCGACGAGACCCCAGCTACGCCACGACCCGCTCTCCTCCCACGTCGTGAGTCGCTGCCCAGTTCCGCCTCCATCTCGCGAAGAATTCCGGCGACCCTTGTTCACGCGTGAATTGCGCGGCTTCCGGCGAACCCTGTCACGACCAGACGCCGCGACCAGCCTCTTCCTCCGGCGATTAGAACCGCCGCGAGCAGACCCCGCGAGCCGTCGTACCTTTAATAACAAATATTTAATATGTCAAGCAGGTATAGGAAGTTTGGCCATTGAATCTTGATTTGGGGAAAGTTTCTTGAGCAGGTTTTGTTGCAGGAGATTGAAAGAAAAAAAGGTAGGAGACGGTCCCCTTTTTTGTGGTTGACTTATTTGTTCCCTTTTTTTTTGTTAAGTGTATCTTTAATTCCCCTAAAATCTCTCATGAGCATTAAAAGCCTTGATAACGGTTCTTGTAGCATGTTAGGTACAATTGAAATTTTTCTTTGTCATTTATGTAATTTTACAAATAAAAATATAAGGGGTTCAAAAGTGATATTAAAATGAATTCTATTAGTAGGGGGTGTAATTTCCTCTTTCGCTTTTATTCAATTCGTGATTCAAACTTGAAAATTGTGAAATTCAAATTTGAATAACAATGATATTTTGTAATCAAAATTTATACAAATTAAATTTAAATTTGTACAAAATTGATTCGAAACTATCGAATATTCAATTTGTTAATAATAATTGAATAAAAAGTTAGTATATTATATTTATAAAATTTTATTCATATAATATATAAATATTATTAAAGAGACAAATATATAAATTTCCGTGTTTATACACAATTTATGAAAATGAATTTCAAATTGAATCAAATATATCCATTTACTTAAAATGAATTGAATACGAAGTACAAATTGTATTATTCTATAGTAAATCGAATACAAAACGTACACTCAAATATTTTCACGAATCTAAATCAAATTGTGAGTTATTGCTTCAATTTGATTCTTTATTACCCTGTGTGCAAGCCTGATTTTGAATAAAAAGAAAGAAATTTTAAATACTTATTTGCTTGAGCAGTGAACACAGAAGATAAAAGGGCATTTCTAACTCCATTGGTGTCTGAAGAAAAAGGAAGAATCACTAACAACCATCCAATTATGCCAAGGCAGAATCATGTACTATTTGCCACAATAAAATCAGGATATGCATACATTTATGGCAACATATAAATGTACCAAAAAATAAGCAGTTTTTGAAACTTTTCCTTAGCGACGAAAGAATATTTTGGATGCTTTTATCGTGGCCATAACGAATGAGAATATCTTGAAATTTATGAATATTGGGAAAGAATCAAAAGTGCCATCCATCAAGTCGATTTTAGCTTTTTGTTATTGTGAGAATTAATTTATTGGAATTAAAGTGCGAAAAATCATTTACTAAACTGAAAATTCTGTCCTGTTTTTATATTCTCTTACCTGGAAAAAAGAAGGATTTTTCTCCTAGATTAGCACACTGCACCAAAACTTTTTTAATTCTAAAGACTAAAATAGAACTTTTGCATCTTGTGAAAATGCAATGTATTTTATTTTTTCAAAAAATATAAGAAGAACGATTGCACATTCAGTAAATTTATACTTTTTCGATACATATGCATATTTTCAAATTGAAACGCCATATTCTAAACAAAAATATAATATTTTATTGAATAAATATGCATTTTTGTTTGAAAAAATATAAAATAATGGGTCAACCCATCTAACAATTAGGCCATCTGATATAAGAATTCGTGTCAAGGATAAGGATTAAAGTATTAAACTATGTCATTAACTGCTTTCACGGAATTCTCATGATGCAGTGATATTGGCAATTTTGTCATAACATATTCTTTCACTTTTGCATGAAATACTTGTCTGTGCAGAGAGTACAAAAATTAATCAAAATTTCTAGAAATGTAAACAGTACATTTTATGGATTAAAGATAACACACACTAAAGTATTGTGGGAGAAACTATTCCCTTGAAAGTTCTAACAGAACCATGTAAAAAATAAAAAGGTAATAAACTGAGTTGCAAGAAAGAATCTTTTCTTANTGCCTTTAGAGATTCACAATTAAGGCTTCATAAACCCAAGTGACCAAAGAATATTAAACTGTAAAATCCTCTAATGAACATTAATTAAAAGTTTAGTAAGGCTAATAGTAATAAATTATATGATTGATAGACCCGCCTAACGATTAAGCCTCCCGATGCAAAAATTTGTGTTAATTAAAAGTTGACTCTTTTCAAATTATTCCAATTTAAGTGGAAAAGACAGGCTTATCCTCAGCCATATGAAAAAAAACTTGGAAAAATGAGTTAAAAATATCAGTCACCAATATAGAAAAGGTTATCATGAATAAAACTCATGGAATCTTTTTCATGCGAGAAGAATCACTTACACCAACTTTTTTTGTACACATTTTAGACACATTTCCCTTTTTGCCCCTTCATTTGCTTTTAAGTACATCTCCACTTGCATGTCTATATAAACCAGACAGCCTCAACTCATCCATGCATGCCTATACACAGACTACTACACACAGACAAATAACATACATAAATATATAATATTATTAAAAAAAAAAAATATATTTCTTGGCTATTGAGAGAAAAATCATGGAAGAGAACTCGAAGAATTTCGATTTTTCTCCGAAAACCATTTCAGACATTCTCAAGAAAGCTCCACTCGTTTCGTATTGTTTTCCCGACCGATCGTCTGAGCTGGAATTTCTCGTGCGCTCGTTAGAAGACGAGATGAGAAAAGTCGATGCTTTCAAACGCGAGCTTCCTTTGTGCATGCAGCTTTTGAAAGATGGTCTCTTTAATATAATATTTTCTTTTTTTTTTTTCCCTAAAATTTTAAAATCTTCCGAAAACACTAATTACTATTCGTTTATCTTAAAGGAATCAAGAGACTGAAGGAAGAGAAATTGATGGAGGAAGAATCCACACCTTTGAAGAGTAATAATAATTCGGAGGGAGAGGAAAGGGCAAAAACGTCAATCGACTTCGTCGAGAAGAGGACATGGATGAGCTCCGTCCAGCTGTGGACCCCACCACCGCCCATCCACTGCGCGAACAGCGGGTTTATCAACAGCAGGGGAGGGTCAGGGGCATTTTCGCCATTTAAGAAGTCGGAGGCCAAGATTGAAGAAGATCGCGGCTCGTTTGGGACCCAACTGCACGAACAGCACAAACAGCAACTGCAGAGGAAACAGAGGCGCTGCTGGTCACCCGAGCTGCACAGGCTCTTTGTGGATGCGCTGCAAAATCTCGGTGGGGCCGAGGGTACGTTCGTAATTTTGGATCCATTATTCGAATCGAATCACTTTATTTTATTTTTTTGAAAAAAAAAAGAATGAAAATGTTTTCAAATGTTTCAGTGGCTACACCGAAGCAAATTCGCGAGCATATGAAAGTGGAAGGCCTTACAAATGATGAAGTGAAAAGCCATTTGCAGGTTAATTAACACTAATGATTTTCAAGTCGTGTATATATATATATATATATCATTTTCCCTATTTTTTATTATATAAGAAATATTGTTGGGATTTTTTTAATCAGAAATACAGGATTCATGTTAGAAGGTTTTCGAATGCATCGTCTACGGAACGGCCGGTTTGTGATGGTTAGATGTGAGAAGTCTGAAACAGTAGAAGTTAGATTTTTGANAATCATGTTTTGGGACTCCTCGTTTTGCCTGTAGAGATGGATAGCCATGCCTGAATTTCAGGGGAAAAAACGTGCTAATTATTATGTGTATTTTTAAGAAAATTACTTCTGACTAATTGGAATTTGAATATTTATTTTCTAGAATTATATCTCTTCAGCTAAGTACATTCTTATGCCCCGAATATTTATTTTTTAATTACATTCATTCAGTTAATTATATTAGTTTATAGAGAAGAAAATTAAAAAGTTAATTTGACAAGAATAAGATTATAAATGAAAAAAATACTTACACCAAGGCCTGAAAATTATTATGACTTCTAGAATTAGTATGATTTCGAAATATGTGTTAAAAAAAGATCAACACATATCGTGGGTATACAGCCTCCACTTTTATTCTCATAGAGGAAGGTTGGTTTATTGATTGGGTTGAGATGGGTTCGGAAAAATTAGAGATTTAGTCCTCTTCGATACTCATTTTTGGAAAACGTCCCGTAAGTGCCAAAATCGTGAGAAATCGTCCTCACACCAGTTGCCATAGGTAATTCTTACTGGCTATTGACATGGATTTTGCAATTATTTCTTTTCTTTTATGCGCCACGTCGGGAATATAAATCAACTATTACCTTAAATTGGAGGGATAATTGCACACACACAACCCTTTTGAGTAGTATACAAAAATTTTTGGAAGAATATTTTTCGATTGATAGAGGATTAAAGTATCCTTCAATATTATTTGCTTACCAATTATAATATAGTTGGAATAGAATTTTTTATTAAATTCTAACGGGAATTTGATTTCCAACAGTAATTTTCTCGGTACAGCTTTATTAAATTATTTTATATTATAAAAGTAGTCTTATAATTTTGGGATTGTATAAAAATCAATTCATTTGAAATTCAATTAATCAATAGCAACCCCATAACTTTTAAAAGTGACCAATTTGAGGATAATCTTTACTGAAAATCTCTCGCCTTCTATTTTTTAAGTTGATCAAATTCACAGTTGTTAGTTATAATATTGTAGAGTAGTATTATTGTATTTTCAATTCTTGTCTTGAAGTTTTGAATGTATGATGTTCATGCCTATTCGAATTGTTTAAATACCATGAATAGTTTCTTGATCACTATCTTGTCTAGAATGATAATCTAGAAACTGGAAAGGGATAGGATATCCATCCATAATTTGATAAGGATAGATATTTCGTAATTATATTATCTATATGTTTGTTGATTGTAATACATATTTGTTTATGTTCGAACTCGTGTTCGTACAAGCATCGGGGACTGATCTCTATAATAGAAAATCATGACAAAGATGAAGAAGGAAAACATTAAACTTGAAGAACATATCCATATTTTCATTGATGACTAGAGCTATCAAAACGGGTTGGCGGGGCGGGCCGACCCGTAGCCCGCCAAAGCCCGCCTGCCGGCGGGGCGGGGCGGGCCTGAAAAAAGCTGGTCCAACCCGCCCCCTCTGCGGGATCCGGGCTCGGCGGGCCAGCCCGCCAATTTTTTTTTAATTATTTGGGCTGTTTTTTTATTTAGTGTTGGGCCGTTGGTTTAAATTAAATTATTGTTAATGAATACGTGGCCCAGGCCTGCTTTTTTGTTTTTTCAGTTTTAAACTAGGCTGCTTTGGGCTGGGCCATTAGATAAAAACAATAAAACAGAAAAAAGAAATTGTATGTTACAAGTTACAACTTACAGGCTGGGCCACTAGATTAAAAAAAGAAAAGAAAAGAAAAGAAAATTGTGTTACGATTTACAGACTTAGTCACACGGCCTAAAAGTGAACAAGCTAAACCAACACTTTACAATGAGATTGAGAAGAGGTACTGAGTACTGACTGAGATTGAGACCGGATGAGTGATGACGGGATAAGGCGACGGCGGTCGGCGAGGCTGCATGAACCGGCAAAGGAGTGAGCATTGATGGTCCTCTGTGAGCGGCGACGACGAGGCCGCGTGGTGAGACACCGACGACGGCGAGACTGTATGGTGACTGAGGAATGATGGTCGACGGGACGAGGGGGTTTGTGAGTTTCTGAAGACGGACGGCGAGGGTTTGTGAATTTGGATGGGGGCGCAAGATCTGTATCCTAATTCTTAACAGACATATATATCTATTTATATTTTTTTAATTAGGCGGGCCGGCCCGCAGGTTAGCCCGCCCCGCCCCGCCTCAGCCCGCAGCCTGCGCGGGCCTGGAAAATCAAAGCCCAACCCGCCCCTTTTGCAGGGCGGGGCGGGCCGGCCCGCGCGCCGCGGGCTGTTTTGACAGCTCTATTGATGACGGCTACTGTTCACGTACAATACACATTAGGTTTGCAGCTTGGGAACAAGTATAAATATGTAGGTAATATAAAGGATGGATAAGGTGAACAGGTGTCCAAAAGAAACTCCCAATCTAATGGCTGTGGAAGCTCTGAACTGAGAGAGAGAGGAGCTGCGGGCTTTGGGACCACAAGGTAGTTGCATATCTATGTTGGCTTTGTCTTCTTGCATGATATGGATATCCATTTATTTGACCAAGGTTTTGGCTTAGTTTCTTTGACCAGAACAGCTGCATTGCTACACCCCCTTTCAATTCCATCAAGGTTTTGCTTGCAACTCTCAACTTATTCTTTAACCGAGAAAAGAATTGCAAAGAAAGTGGCTTAGTGAAGATATCACTCACTTGTTCTATTAAAGGAATGTGACAGACCTATATGTTACCTTTTTCTATCCTCTCTCTAACAAAATGATAATCTAATTCCACATGTTTAGTTCTACCATGCATGATAGCATTGGATGCCAGGAAAACTGCACCCAGATTATCTACCCAGTTCACAAGAGTCTTCATCACACTTTGTCGAATTTTAGAAAGAAGTGAATTTATCCATGTTACTTCTTATGCAACATGTGCTAAACTCCTGTACTCTGCCTCGGTGCTTGACCTTGAAACTGAACTTTGCTTCTTTGAGCACCAGGATATCAAACTTTCACCAAGAAAAACACAATAACCTGTTGTTGATCTTCTATCATCCAAGTCTGCTCCCAAATCAGAGTCTGAAAAAGCTTTCAAGTCAAGGTGAACTGACTTTCTAAAATGTAGTCCATGATCTATTGTCCCTGCAAGGTACCTTAAGATCCTTTTTACAACTCTCCAATGTGTATCTAAGGGGTTGGACATGTTTTGTTTACTCCAAAGCTGATTTCTGGCCGTGTTATTGTTATGTATTGCAGTGCTCCCACAACACTTCTATACAGTGTACCATTGGTCATTATTCCATCTTCCTTGGACAAATGTAGTGAAGAGACCATAGGAGTAGGAACTCCTTTAGCATCATCCATTCTCAACCTTTTCAGCAACTCAACAATATATTTTCTTTGACTGAGATGCAAACCATCTATTGACTTACTTATCTTAACTGCAAGGAAATGCTCAATCTCTCCAAGATCCTTAACTGCAAACATATCACCAAAGATCTTAACAAAATGATCAATCTCTCCATCTTGGGTTTCTTTGACCAAAATGTCATCCATATATATGAGACAAACAAGAAGTTCATATTATCATTCTTTAAGAAAAGAGAACTATCAGCCTTTGAATCCTTGAATCCCATTACTCTAAGAGCTTCTTTGACTTTGCTAAACCATGCTCTAGACGCCTGCTTAAGGCCATATAATGCATTGGATAATTTGCACACAAGATGCTCTTTTCTAGCTAGTTCAAACCCTGGAGGTTGTTTCATATAAATAGCCTCATTAAGGTCACCGTTGAGAAATGCATTGCTAACATCAAGCTGCCTTATCCTCCAACTATAGTGCACTTCAAGAGTGAGCATGATCCTTATTGTATTATGTTTGACAACAGGACTAAAAGTGTCAGTAAAATCAAAACATGGTTTTTGAGAATATCCTTGGGCCACAAGTCTAGCTTTGTACTTCAGAATACTTCCATATGATTTCTTCTTGATTTTATACACCCATTTACACCCCACAATACTTTTTCATTCAGGTGGAACAACAAGATTCCAGGTGTTATTTTTATTTAAGGCACTTAGTTCTTCTTTCGTGGCCATTCTCCATTGCTTCAATGAAAGTGCCTCACTTAATGAGGTAGGCTCATTTTCTTCATATTCTTCAATATAAGCCTTAGGTTTGTATATTCCTTCTCTAGCCCTTGTGATCATTGGATGTTGCCTCATGGATTCCTCTGTCTCTGATTCCTCATCAGAGAGTCTTGTGATTGACAGCTCAACTAGAAGAGGTATTCCTGGATGGCTTCTATTACTTGAGTCAATGCTTCTGTGAGAGCTTGAGTTTATGCTCCCACTTGGTGAGTTTCAGAGCTTGAGTTTTAACTATCAATCTCATGCAAGTTTTCTTCCCTCAGTTTTTCGCTTGATTCACTATCTTTAATAATAGTAGGGGTTCCTGGTAGGCTACACACCTTTCCAAAACTACCATCATCATCCTTTGCAGTTTGTTGTTTGCTAGAGTAAGGGAATTTGGTTTCATCAAATAACACATCCCTTGTAATGATGATCTTCTTATTTGGTAATAGCACCTTGTACCCCTTATATTGGTTACAGTATCCCAAGAAGACTCCAGCACAAGACCTATAATCCATTTTTTATGCTTATTGTATGGCCTTAGGCGAGGGTAGCATAAACACCTAAAAACCCTCAGCCTTTTGTAATCTGGTTTGTGACCATAGAGGATTTCAATGGGAATTTTGAAGTTTAAGGGTCTGCTTGGGATCCTATTAAGTAAATAAGTAGCAGTGATGAAGGCTTCTCCCCAACATAACAAGGGTAAGTGAGAATGAGTTAAAAGAGAAAGTCCCATGTTAACAATGTCCCTATGTTTTCTCTCAGCCAACCCGTTTTGTTGAGGAGTATAGACACATGAGATTCTGTGCACAATGCCATTTTCCTGAAAGAACTTGGATAGAGCTTGATATTCTCCACCTCCATCACTTTGTACAGCCTTCACCTTCCTATTAAACTGGTTCTCAACTAGTGCTTTGAAGTTCAAGAAGACATTGTAAACATCTGACTTTGCCTT